CCCCCCCCCCTCCGCCGCTCAGTGGCCTGCTGTAAGGCCGTGACCTTTCCCTGAGGTCAGTGTGATGGATAGAGCAGACGGAACAGGAACCTGAGACGAGCGGGAAGATTTGTCTTTCTTATATCATAACGAGGTGTTTGGACCCTTTGCGGCATTTGTCATGGGGAAGGGGGGAGGAAGGAGAGAGAGACAAACAGACAGAGAGAGAGCCGGAAAGAGTCCACTGTAAATTACCTTCTTTACATCTGAAATCTCCCAGTTCTGTGGTTTTTGTCAGATGTTGATGCTGTACATTTGTGAGTTGAGTAGCTGGTGTGATGACTGTCTTTCAATTATGTCCCCCAGGTTTTCATGTCGTTGACAAAAACACCCCTAGAGTTCTTGTATGATTTTTACGAATTCTTGGTGGATTCTATTTTGCGGTCCGGTCCTCCTCCTTCTCTTCAATGTTATTTTGTCTGACTCTGTTCCTGGCAAAATGTGGCCGTCGATTAGTGTACCTGCTCGTTGTAAACAACTCTTCTTTACTTCTGTATCAGAAATATTTTTTCCGCTTTTATTTCTGTCACATGTTGCATTTACGTACACTTGCCAAAACACGAAATGTCGTTTTAAATAATAGGGCTGTGGAATGCAGATAGCGAATGATATGGCAGGAAAGTTTGCCATAAATGAACAACGGGTCCCTGACATGACAGGTGCCCTTTCCCGGACATGTTGAGTCTAAAATAGAAATTGAGGGTCATGACCACCTATGCCTGTGTCAGATCTAACTTTTTACTCGAAAACAAGATGTGGTGGAAGTACACGATGATGTATTGGTTGTTATGTCAATATGGTTCTCGCTCGTCAAAGTAGTTGGCAAACATAATTTGGCTTAAGTGAATAAAACCATTTGAATGATTTGGGAGGCTGGCTGCTTTTGACCCTGCAATTCGCCTTCTAAGTGGGATAGGTAGTCGCAACAAACACTTTGAGATACAATGTCCTCGATAAAGTCTTCTTTCTAACACGGGATAAGGAAGTTAACGTTCGTCTTCGTCTTCTGCTTGTACCGACAAAGAGCCTACCCAACACACCACAGACGCTGATTTAAACACACTTTGTTTCCAGCTGACAAAATGGCCTCTCCCGGTATCGAAAGTTACTTTTCTTCCGACGATCAAGTTTGTGATCTTTATTGATAAAATGTGTTTCTGTGACCCGATCATCTCATTCTTCTGGAATGATTTTTTGATGTCTGCTCTTAAGCGTTTTGTTTTCGTCTGTCCACTTTGTTGTCAGATGTCTGTGTC